CTATTTGACTATGTTGTTTCGTTTTGTTGTTTATTTATTTATTTATTTATATATCTATTATTGATCACTATGTTTATTTATATGTTTATGTTTATGTTTATTTATTTATTTATTTATTTAAAAAATTTATATAGATACATTAATAGTTGAGTATAGCCGTGCTCAAATAGCTAGCGAAACTGAAAAACCCGCATATGTTAAAATTAAGTATATATATAAGTCACCTTCGCCGTAAAGGCGTAATACTGTACCTACCCCCGGCCGAACAATGTAAGGTCGGGGGAACATTTCTTGAAAATAAACGCCTTTATTCAATACATGCTATGTATTGTTATTGTCTCGCGCCAAATGTATTCGTTCCCGCCAAATATATTCGTTCCCGCCATACGCAACAGCTGTGTGGATTTCGCTATACAGTAGTTCCAGCATTTTCCCAAGGGTGGCGCTATCGGTGATATTCATTAGCCAATGTGTCGATAATGTCAGTTTATATTTGTTGATAAAGGCAATATCTATTTGTTATTAATTACCGTTTAACTTCTAATTTTTAAATTCTTTTGTTAATATTTGTGATATTCTTTTTGTAAATAGCTAATTAGAAACTAGCCGTCATAGAAGCTGGCCAATAAAAATATTTCAAATTAAATTGGAATTTCCAGAGCAACTGTTTCGACTCCTATAACATCACGAGTACCAGGTTCCTAGCAACTGACGTAGGTACCTATAAAGGGGGCAACTTTTTGTTAGGAGAGTGTCACTGCAGTGTCTGCAGGCACCGATTTGGACACCCTTGTACCAGCAGACTCTAACTGAATCTGTAGAGGCGTAAGGGCAATCTACTCAACACCTACGTAAAAGTAACTAGAGTAAATCTCTAAAATATGTTACTAAGTTAAGTTACTTATATTAAATATAAGCTAGTTCATAAGTTGGTAACTTGTGAGGCCCCGAGGTATTAAAAAAAGAATGTTACGCGTCCCACACTCTCAATTTCTCACTAGTCAGCATAGGAGCAGAAAAGAAATATACATATAATAAAAATAAAGCACGTCGTTCATGTCGTTCCCGAAATTTTCACTACAGACGAGATATAAAATAAACATAATACGCAATGTAAAATTTTGTCACGCGATTTGGGGGTTCCAAGACCTTACTATTTTCGTATCACGCCCTGTCATATCGACATAGGCTGGTTTTGAATGACAGCGCTATAGTGATAGGAATTAGAATAAAAAATATTGGAACATAAACTTAAGATACGTAGAGCCGTTGCAGGTTATAGTTATTTTTGAGTAGGTCTTCGGGGGTCTCAAGATCCCCGTGCCATTTCCATGTGGCACTTGACGTTACTGATAATACAAAATTTTAAACTTGTTAGCAGGAATCGAATTAGCTGTATACTTCATTTTCACTACGAGCGTGTCATGATTTAACGACAACAAATATAAGAAAGTGAGTACATTTAAACAATGGAAGTAGTATTTATTTAATAGAACTTCACGACAATGCAGTGTTTATTAATTCACAAACGTAAATATTTTTATAGATACATTTACTGCATAAATTATAGCTACAAAATTTATAAAATTTAAGTATGTACAAATAAATAAATAAAACATGTGTTCTTTTTTATTTTTTTATCTCGATATTACTTTTTTCTATATACTCATAATTTCTTATAGACAGTAATATAAAAAACAAGTATGAAGTAGAATTATGAGATAAAATTACAACAAAGAATTACGACGAAAAAATTGTTAGAAATAAGGAATCCCACGGTGAATGATTGATAACTTCTTTCTTGAAATTAAATCTAACGCATAGAGATTTTACTATTCTAAAATCAATCGATGCCTGATAAGTCAATGACGATTTAATTACTAAAGTTTATGAAAATCTATAATTATCGAAACAAACTTTCCTAGAAGACAAAAGAATGTTACCTTGTTTATTGATAATTCTGATACACTCAACAAAACACGGAAGCTTTATTCCATCTTGTTGGAATGCAGTTCTTTTTGCATATTCAAATTCGCAAACATGTAAAATATGCAATCTAATGGTCACTGTGTTCCAACAATTAATTATTGATTTGTTCGATTTCCTCGGTCTTTTCTCAGTATACAGGGTGTATCGGAATAACATGTGTAAGTGGGGAGAAGCTTATTTTTCATAAAAAAATAAGAAAAAGATATAGAATATTTTTGTATATTATATTTTTCTAAATATTATCAATATAATATTACTATATAATTTAATACGATATAATGTGATGACACGCTACTATAGCATTAAGTACTATAGGGGTTAAGGCTGAAGAGCTGAAAGTAAAGCGCACTGATGACAATTAACAACGAAAGTACAAAATGAAAAGTATTTTTTTGTCAAATTTTTGACTGGTCATTCGAAATTTCTGAAACTAAGGAGATTCTTTTTAATTAAATAATATTTTCTATTATTAACACTTGCTGCACTCCTAGCTTTGAATAAGTCAGATATAATACCAGATAGGGTATATTTGTTTACAAATTGTCATCCGCGTAAAAGATGACGATAAAGTGAAAATTAAAATTGACAAAAGTGCGGTAGAGACTTTGTTTACAAATTATTAATAAATAAAATTTCGTGGGGGGGGTTCCTCTTCAGAAATGTCTCCAGAATCCAATGGTGCGCAGCAAATTCGTGCTGGCCAACCCACTTTTCGTAGAAATGTAACAGAAGTGCAGAAGAAGTACCTTTTTTTAAACTTTGATCGCCGTTTACAAACATTTAATGATACTCAAAATTCAAAATTTGTATAGCTACGTGATCAGGCAAGTCTCCTTTATTTTTTGCGACAAATTTTAACTGCCTATCGTTTTTAGTTTTCACGTAACACTTGGTTTTCTGAAAAATTCGACCGTTTTTACAAAATCCCAGTTTTTTCGAAAACTGGACCTGACCCAGCAATTTGGTTTTCGGATTCGTATTTAGGGTAAGGAACTCTATAAGAATTACATAGTGACTATTGCAAAAACTAACGTAGGTCAAAATTTGTTCCACAGTGTAATTGTTCACCTTTATGATTCACACACTGACTCACATGCGCTATTATTGACGAGTCATTATGGTTATGAGGGGATTTTAGTTGTTAATAATTCGAAAACAAAACGCAATTTCATCGCTCTCAATTTCTAAAGCTGCAGATACACTAGCAAGTAATTTGTGTAATTGTAATTGTAATTGTAATTATAATTGTAATTATAATTGTAATTGTAATTTTAATAAATGTGCGTAATAGTAATTTCCTAATAACGGCTTGCAAAACTGTTTACAGTTCTATGTTATTTGGTTTTATTACTATTGCAAGTAAACTGAACTTCTAGCTAGCAATCTCAGATGCATTTGTTTACAGACGTCATAAAAGTCGCTATCAAAACAAATTTCGCAAGTTTTTCGCTAGTATACCTGCACCTTTAGTCGAATTCCTGTAGCCGATCACTTCATTTCTTGTATTTGAACATCCTGCATAACGACGAGCACTCATTACAAATCAATGCTAAAGCGAACGATGGTTGAACGTTATCTCCAACTCGTCCCCATTCAAACAATTTTAACGTACAACTCGAAACCGTGAAACGAATTATCAGATTGTGTATTACTAGAATTTGATCGATTAATTTCACGTCCACATTCGTTCTAATCAGGCCAATCTCGCAAGAAAAGAACTGATAATTTCATTGCATTTTACTAAAAAAAATATAAATATGGAATCTTAATCTTTCATTGACGATTTTCAGTGACTTATCTATTTATAAAATATAAATGGGTCTTCCAAGTGCTGGAAAACTCATCTCTGCCGAAACCCAAGTAGATCATGCTTATTCGATGTTCATAGTTATCGTTATGCAAATTAGAGTCGCGAAGAGAACAACTACAATAATAATGTGTTTAGGAGAAGAATCTCATTTCTTTCGATGAAAAATATGAATTCAGTAGCATTTTTTATAGAACAAAGTAACGAATATCCTTTAGTTAAAACTTTACATGTCTTTAGTATACTCTCATTAAGTTTTATGAATTCAGTTGAATTTATTTGGAAACAGTTTTTACAGCTAATAGATCAAAATGTTACTAATTTGATGATCAACGTGATATCTGACCTTAATATTATCTGAAATGAAAAATACTCATGAAATCTCATTTAGCTATTTAAAGTTAACAAATTTCCATAGTTTTTGTAATTAAAAGAAAAGTACATCATATTCCTTTGACTGTAAGTAAAAATGATGAAGGAATTTCTTAACAAATAGAAACAATCTCAAATTAATAAGTTCCATATTTGTTTATAATCATTTAAATAATAGTATTTTTATCTATGGGCTTTAGAAACTGTATTTCTGAATAAATCCAACTGTATTATAATAATAAGCATTTTCCCGTTACCAAATCAACTACCATTCTTTGCACCTCACTTTTGATATCAACCCGGTCCGGAAGTATATGCAGTTCATATATGACTACTAAGAAATCAAAAAAACCGCCTTCGAAATGTATATTTTTTTTCTCGAAACGCTCGAACACATTCATCTGCTGGTAGATTTCAGCTGACGTTACGTTCGCGGTATTTTGATTGTCCTTAAAATAGCTATCAACAGTGACTGTCGAGATGTAAACGTGAGATTTATTCATGGTCACTATTATTCTTCGCGTCGCCGGTGAATGTGCCGGATTAAAAAATCTGATTTGAAATATTTAGAAATTGAAAAATCCATAATCGTTACTATACAGTTAATAGTTCTCAGATTTAAACGATATTTATTACCTTTTGTCACTGACAATAAAACATATTAAAACAAAACGGAAGAAATATATTTACATAGCATAAATTACATCGAATAGCCGTACCTGTCCGAGGATACTGAATACTTGTGACTGATGACTGGATCCTATTTATCCTATGATCATCTAATAATTATATTCTAGAGAATGTAACCATTGAGAACAAAAGTTCTTGATAATTTACTTTATTTTGTTCATATATAATTATATAGACGCGTACAAAATATACAAATAACGTGAACATACTTCGTTTAATTTAAATATAGACATACATTCACACACATTGATCGGCCGAATTACTACGGTGTGCACTTTCACATTCCTTTTTTTCATTTGACACTCATTACAAAACTTACAAACAAGAGATAATACATGAACAGTATTTAAGACGCGAAGAATCGTAATAAATACGATTGAGAATAGTAGATGAGGTTTCTTAGCAAATCTTTTTGTACGACAACATCGAAATCTCGTTGCAACTAAGTTTTTTGTGATACGCCTTTTTTTACCCTGCCTCTCGAGATCGTCGTTAAACTTAGTTCCTGATATATTTTCGCGGAACGATATTTTCTCTTTAATGTTAATCGTTGTTTACGTCTTTCATGACAAGCAAACGGTTGTAAGTTAACAGTACACCCTGATATTTTCTAAAATAATTTTTTCAGCGTTCGTTGCTCAGTTTCGTTGAATAATTTTAACGATTTTTAAAAATACTCGAACACTCAAAAAAATTTTACTTTTCCTTATGATTGTATGTAATAGTATTTTTTAACGTTTTATTACAATTTATAATTTACTTATTTAAGTATGAATTTGTTATCTTATGATGAATAAAGAAATTATATTATCTTTTACAGTTAGCATTGCATTGCTTTAAACTATCTTCTCACTTGTGCGTGTGCAAGTGTAAAAATATATTTTAAGAACATCTGGAACATTTTTACCTGGATTGATTTTAATAATTGAGTAGCAAAATTAGTATCATTATGCGCAACAAAATTAAATAATCATTAGAACTACTATGAATCTACTGATGTTAAAATAATAATTAACAATACTCTTAAGACTATTAACCGAAAAAATATACCTTAAGATTCATGGGTATATTTTAAGTTGAAAATACTTTTTTGGTATAATAACATGTTGTAAAAATTTCTCAAAATTTTTGCTTGTGAAATGAGAGTATTGATTATACTGTGTTTTGTTGAATTATAATTCAATGAAAAATTGCACTTGGACATTAGATCTACACATAAAACCTAAGAATTGCGTTGTTTTTGCTTGAGTTTGCATTTTAAACGCAGCGAGGTTCCTGTGTACTCTTACACGTATGTTCAAAGTATTTCCATTCCGCATCAGTAATTTGCAAATCAGGTACATGACATAGTAAATCATAAATACATGATGTAATGAAGTGCAGTAACTTATTATACAAAAGTTGCCGAGATTTGCGATAACAATTCCCTTATATTAACAATACTTTACGTATAATTTAAAATTGAATATTGTTGTTATTCAAATACTATAAATAATTAAATATTACTCAAAAATGTGTCAAGACGTTGAAAACGTTGCAGCACACTTTCGACAATTAAATAACGGTAATATTTTTATTTTTAGGACATTAGGAAAGAAGGCCACTCCTTAAAATGTATGATATAACTAACACGGAAGTGTTTGATCATTATGAATTAGCTGCCAAATATAAACTTCAGTCAAGAAAGTTTGATTTCACTTTCTTATTTTCTTTAAACATTAATTATTTTGTTCATTTATAATTCAAAAATAATTCTTCTGTCTATCATATCTATGCATTAATTGTTGTTATGAATATTTAATGTTACCAATATGATAAGATTTCATATTTAAGACATCATATTTAACATCTATTTTTGTTTCACATACAGGCATTGTATATCACAGTATGTAGTATATTAGTATTCCTTCTACATCTACGAAACAGATGTAACTCTGCATTTATTATTGGGTATGTTACTTTGAAATGCAAAGTATAACACTATAATTGACATGTCTGGTCTTTTCGATAATTTTAATGAAAAATTTGTGCTTGGTTTTGTTTAGACATCAGCAAAATTGTAAATCTCTAGCAACAATAACAATGCCAGAAAGTGGTTATACGAAATAACGTATATTTATACGTTATAACTGATCATAGTAAGAAGTGTATAAAACATTCCATAAAATGGCTGCAGTCATAAGTGCAACGTAAGTAATAATACTGGCCCACCACACAACTTTCTCCCATGTTCGCACTTCAAGATTACGAAGAACATTTATACCTACGAGTAGCCCTGCAATGGCACCAGCAAAATGAGCAACATATCCCACTTGGTCATTCTTCTCTAATACATAACGGTTGTATATTGCTTGGCCAATATCAAACGAAGTCACAACAAGAAATACTAACAATTGCATTACTGCAAATTCCATTTGTGACCAGTTCATTACAATGGTTGCCACATGAGCAGTAATCAGTGCATACACACCACCTGATGCGCCTGCTAAATACACTCCAGGATCTGACACAGATGTGCCAAGAGATCCTGCTACAACACCAGCTATGTAAATGGTCAATACTCTCCACCATTTATGTACCATTTCTAATGGAATACCCAGCATTATCTGTACAAGTAGATTAACCACCAGATGAAACGTGCTGTTTAAAATAAGTAATACAATTAATTTCTAACATAAGATTCAGTAGATTTGTAATTTTTAAATAGGAACTAAAATGCATACCCCACATGCACAAACATGTACGTTAGGTACCTCCATGCTTGGTACCTTTTATGTGGATTATAAATAAATAATGTAGCTGCAGGCCCTTCTATGGATATAGACCGATGTGTAATCACATCATACAAAAATAAAGTAATTTCCAATATGGATATAATTATCATTGCTATGGCAGGAGGTTTACAAGTATACTCCTCTTCGTATTGTCCATCAGGATAATCACTGGAGGGTGCTAGGAAGACGGTTGGCCTTTGTGGTACCATTGAGTGGACATATCTTTGTACAAGATGTCCAAAAACACCTTGCATATCCTTTCTGTGAATCTACAAGTGAAGATTAAAAGTGACAATGACATTGCAATTAATGAAAATAATGATGAAATGAATACCATGGCTATGAATTCAGGATAATCTAAATTTCCAGAAGCATCTAAATCTGCCTTCTGCATAATTGTACGAACAACCCTAGTTGGAATATCGTTGGAGTAATCAGAACACTGAATCATAGCTTTTAATTCCTGATAAGAGATTTTTCCATCTTTATCGAGGTCATATTTTTCAAATATAGACCTCCAATGCTAAAAATATGAAATTCATAACACATAGAAAACTATCATAAAGGTTATGGGAAACTAATAGTACAAGTTATAAGTATAGCTATTGGTTCTTACAGCGTTATTATATTGCAGTGGAATTGTTATTCCTGTTTCTCCCTCTCGATCATTCGACATTCTGATCAGCTTGAAACCTCTGTGAAACACAATATTATCAACAATAAGACCATAAAGTTCCAACTATTTAAAATTTTCACTGTTTCATGTATAAATGATTACACTCTTTGCATTAGTTTGAACTTCTGTCAAAACAAAATTGATAAAACAAGATGTACGCTCGTTAAAATTATCAATGACTCGCAATGCATTTTATATAAAATAAATTTACAAAAATTCAGGTAGAATGTACCTGCTCATGATGAACGGATAAATTCAATATCAATCGCGCATAAGATGCACAGTGTATAGGCACGCACGTTTAACACACGCGATCTATGAGATCATTATGATTTATTTGACTAAGACGCCAATAGATCGACGTTCATGTGCTCATATTTATATAGCGATACTGATCTATTTTATCTTATCGTGAAGGTATAGTATTCGTCCAACAGATAAAAAAAATAGAAAGACTATATCATACCGGTGAATACAAATTGTGAGTCAGATTCTAGCGAGGTGTGTGTGCGTGCGTTTTACGTGATGTGTTCTTAGCCTCAATACCTACGGGATACGTCGAAAATTTAAATCGGTATAATGACTGAAATTATCTTCAAACAAAATTTCCCATTTCTATACGGTTATTACATTACGATGAAATGTTCGTGACATTCGATATAACGGAATATGTCTGAAATGACTGCACACGCCAGTAAGTTGTCAACGTCGCAACAGGTGAACTCGACCAAGCGTCGCTCGAATAGAAAGTACCGCAATGTTACGAATCAATGGTAGATAGTTGGAATCCATCCTTTACCAATTCTCAATGTCACACTTTTTTATACTTCAAAATATTTTTTTCAATTCTAGAATAAATATGAGGGTACTGATAAATAGTCCATTATTTTTTTTTAGTAAACCGATAGGTAATCACTTTCAGATTAAAATACCTATCGACTGTTTCACCTCATACCAATGGCGTAGATCATTAGCCAAGTTTTAAAAATAATAATGGGCTATTTATTATTTACCTCCTACACTAAATATAATGTCAAAATCAAATTGTTTATTCAGATAGCAGAATCATGAAACAGAAGAATAATGTTATTACATTATATCACGATCCGACGTCACGAAATTGTTAGTCAGAAATAATCATAATGAGTGCTTATTTTTTTTCCTTTACGTTTGTTCTTTGTTTTTATTTCACTGTCACCGCATCGTTAATTTGAGATTTTTAGTGTACACGGGATTTGGGTAGTCATTCGGTTGTGAAAGGTTTCTATAAAGCGACGTTTTGTTTTTACCGCATACAATCGTTCTGTCTTAAAAAGCTGACTCAACAGGATTCGGCGATCTGCTGGTTACTGCGTTTCATTTTTTATTTGAAAACGTCGCCGAGTAACAAACTCATGTGCGCGCAGGTAAACACAACGAACATGGGATGAAAATGTTCGCACAGTTCAATGATATTTACAGCTCGCACCATATGTCACTGTGCCATAAGTGGCGAGGATCATGTGAAATTCGAGTGCAGGTGCACCTCGCGGTGTGCGTCCCTGGTTACCAGGCAACAATGGGATCGATAAACAATGTACATTATCGTGGGACCACTGACAGTACAATTTTAAACGATCTACCAAGCGAGTCAGTGTCCACGTGTGCTTCGTTTTATTATCTTACAGAACAACGTTATCATAAATGTCACAAAAAATACGTAAAAAGAAGATATCCTCTAACTACCGAGTCAATGAACCTATAAATAATTTTAAACTGAGGTAACGTTTACCAGAGAGTCAAGCTAACAAAAATGATACACATATTAACGACAAATACATAGAACAAGCTGAATCACCCAAAATGCACGATTAACCAAAAACAAAACGTGGCAAAGATTTTTTTTCTTTCGACGAAAATCGTACGTTAGCCGTGTCGATCGGAATTAGATCTTGGCCATCTGGCAGAGATTGTTTCCAGCGCCTAAATTGTATTTACCTTCGGTTTGTTTATTGTTCCAGAGTCAGAATCGTACAGCAAAGACCTTTGCTTGCAGAACTCCTCGAGGATGATGGAGATACCAGAGACTTGAATTTTCTTCAAGAGGAAGATCGTATTTTCAGTTGGCAGGAGAAGGCGTTCAGCCCGTTCGAAGCTGATTTTTACAGGGAAGAGAAGAATTGCGTGACTGAGACGCAAAAGGCCTATTGCCAACGAATCAACGAGGAACATGTCGAGGGTTCTCAGCTGTACACTTACACGCAAATGGACTCGTACTATCCGGAGAATGGACTGTTGACGAAACCGTATAAGACGGAATTGGCGTGCAGAAATGAAACCGCATTGCCATCTTTGCAGAATCGCAAGCCGTTTCCGGAGAGGTACAACAAATCAGTCGTCGACGATAAACCTGGCGAAACGAGGATACGCAGAAACCATTACATCTATATGGAAAGGTCTACGATGTATGTCATGGTTGATTTATCTCGAAGAGATAAAGGTGCAACGAGTCCCGACGAGGATTCCGAAACGGTTCTATGTGTCATCACTTATGACCACTTGCATAAAATTCTGTCCGTGGATCCCGACTTCACAGACGATCGGTCTTGTTACACCATCACGAATTCCGACGGCGTTGAATTTAATTATTGGATCGAACACGCTTCCGAAAAACAGTCGCCGGAAGAATTTCAAGAAGAACGGAATGAATTGCAACATGTAAGATAGATGAAATATTTATTTGCACTATTATTCATACTTCGATTGCGTGTCCTTCGTTTGCTTTCGTATTCTGAGTCAGGCAGAGAGATTTGTAACATATTTTAAATACGATTTTAATTGTAGAATTCAAATATATGCCACAAATAAAATTATATGAAAGTGGAAGAGAGTTTAAATAAGTAATTAGCGTGTAACTAATAGAAATTTGATGATGAATATTATACGTACCCCACGTAGGAGATTTCGGAGATTTGCCTTATCATTCTTTGTGGATAAAACATGTTTCTTGTATTCATTTCGATTCAACATTCGATTAACACTGGCATTTATAATTTTTCCTCATTCTCTGGAATCTGTTACACTAAATCAACTTCAGTTTCAGTTTGTACTTTGTTGAGACACATTCGGGGGAAATATGTATTATCACGTTTAATTTAGTAGGTCTGCTCATTTTTTATATTCAGAAGAAATTATGATGATTAATGTATTATTTAACAATATCGAGTGCACGAAACACGTAACCTAACTGCCACACTGTGGTCCCACGGCCAACTGAATTCTGCGGCAGTGAATAGTTTGCTTGAATACTCTGTATGCATTTGTGTGCTTGCCCGATTCGTATACGTATATGCACTTGTATAAATGTGTACTATTTACACATGCCCCTTGAAGCATGTTTGCATCCGAACGTCGAAGCAAATTTTGCAATCCTTTACGCACAAATTATCGCACCTTATTGTATATTATTTTTAATATTCTATAAAATACTTAATATTATGTATCAAATTAATTCTACAAATCTAATGATCTAATATATTGTTAATTTACTAAAAAAAAGAATTAATTAATTACTAACACATTTGATAAAACTTATTAAATTTAATTTGTATTATAGGAAATTAAAGAAAAGTTAATATATAAGGAGGAAGAAATGTTTCACCGTTTTCAATTGACACCGCCGCATATAGATAAAATTTTTGTAAAACTTGACATTCTATCTGCTCATGGATTCATTTTTAATGGGCTTTCTGTTTCTTATTACATTCACTTACCAGAATATTGGAATACTAATCAAAGTGATAGATTATTTGGAAGGACTCAAAGATGTAATTTGAAAAATAAATCAGCATACTTTGGATATAGTACTGAAATATCGTTAGATCACAAATCAGATGATGCATTAAACATAAAAAAGACTTTACCATCTTGGCCTAGATTATTATTATCAGTTACATCTCTTGATATATGGACAAGGTATCTACTATTTAATTAATATAATTATAATTATATAATTATTAATATTAAACTTACAATTTGCATTAATATTAAATCTAAAATAAAGTTATGTCATTTTTAGATACCGTACAGAAGGATATGCAGCTGTGCCTTTGCCTGCATATCCAGGTACATATGAGTACAGTGTTCCAACATGGAGACCAGCAGGAAGTATCATCAATTCTCTCAGAAGATACTTTACGGGAGGTACTTATGAACTGGATGATGTAACTTACTGCAGTATTTCTGCAGGACATGAAGGTGAAACGTTAAACAAGTCACAAATGCAGGTCACACCAAGTGGACACATAAAACTAAAAATTAATATTATTTATCAAACTCATACTTCTACTAAAATTGATGATCGGTTGAACTATTTTGAAAGTTTAAGTACAGATAAACTTATGATTAATATAGAAAATATTTTTGAACAGTTTAAAGCAGCTAGGGAACGCATGATACAAGTTAGAAATTTGAATGTTTGATCACTTAAGTTAAAATAAAATGGTCTGTGATACTGACTAATAAAATGACAATAATTTATATATCATAATACTGTTATATTTATCGTAACACTTGAAACATGTTCCATTACAAACTGATAAGTATAATAGGAACTTTCTGATTTGTTTATAACATATCATATTAAAAATGCTATTAAAATTATTCCAATTGTGTCTTTTTATTTTTTTATTTTAAGAAATTGTATTACTTAACAACACCAATTCTATAAAATATATATATAATACAGAAATTGTGATAAACTATATTTATACAGTTGACAATTAGTTATTTGCTAAAGTATTAAATTTTATATGATCCATTGTTATGTTTTTATCTTCCATATAGAATTAAGTAGTATTACAATTAAAAGGTTTGGAGAAGTGCTTAATATATTCCTATTGTGTTTAACTAAAGGACTAGAGTAAAAGTGCAAATATTATTCTATGAGGCCTTTCGGTTATTGCCTCTTTTTTGCAGCTTTTACTGCTTTTGGTTTTTGCTTTTCTCCTCCGGACAAGAATGATGTTATAACTTCAGACATTTCTGGCAATTTAGTGAGATTATTCAATTGTTCCATTTCCTAAAAAAATAAAAGAACAACATGGGAATATTTTAAATTTAAAATAATAAAGCTTATATTAGAATTGTTTTCTAACCTTTCTTGCATCTGGATCGTTCATAATTTTTGGTCCAATCATAAGTAATAATAAGGGTAAGATCATCATTAACACCTATTAAGCAATCAGAAATAATAATTTAATTTCACCCCCATCAAAAATATTTATATGATAATGAAATAATTGACATACCATTGAATTAAACAAAAAGTCTGTTACTTTCCATTGTTCTCTAACTTGAAAATAGCGGAATGGTGTAACTGGTCTCATTTTTAATGGGTAAGGAATTTGTATTACTTGAGATGTTTGAATTAAATTAACTTTTCTCGCTCTGAATTTTCCTTTTGAGTTAATTTCTACTCTAACAGGTTCATACACACAGTTGGGATTTACAACTTCAATAACATAAGATCCAGATGGTACATTTGAAATAATAAATGTTCCATCTTCCCTGGAAAAAATAAAATTATTGTTACTGTAGAAAATATATTTGAATTGTGTATCATATTTAATTTAGTATATTTAATTTATTATTTTTTTAACCTAATCCATATTGAATGTAGAACAAGTTATTCGTTACAATTTAAGTCTATTAATAGTATTGATTGATTTGACATAAATAGACGATTATTCATTTTTAGCAATAAGAAGCATAAAATGTATATTTACCTCAAAAAACCATAATGTTCTCCACCATTAGCCATGACGTGTGTCATAAGCTGCCAGCTATTTGAGGCTTTATTTTCCCATGGAAAAACTTTTCCTTCGATAACGTACAAGTCTGTTGACACGTCTTCGTCATTTTCAGCGATTACATATTTATTTGAAACGCTGACAGTAATGAAAATTAGAAAAATAGCAGTCGTATACATGATCATACTGTCTCTACTCAATATACAAGAAGTTAACTGAATATGTGAACGTAACAATGTGACAAACTGAAGAATGAGATCAATATTGTTACTAAAACTTCGTAAAACCACAGAAGAGGTATAGGATAGACATAACACGCAATGTAAAATTTTGTCACATGCTTTCGGTAGTTATAGGATCCCCTTACGTAGAGATAAAGTTTGCTAGTGCATCGGGGCATTTTTGACGATTTCGATGTTTGATACATATTTACATACTACTTGATCACTTCGATCATTTTGCTTGATGCAGTTTTTGTATTGATCATTCCCTAGGCATAGAGGGCAGAGCAAAATCTCTGATTTTTCTACGTAGTCGGTAATTCAAAACATGTAACACTGAGTCTCGTAAGCTTGTAATGTCTATCTTATATCTTGTCTATGGTAAAACTTTGGAGATATAAGGACATTTTCTTTGTATTTATTGGCTGAAACACATTGCTGACCCTCCTTTTTTTAAATTTACCCGATAATCGCTACCCTAAAACGGTAGGAATAGAATTGTAAAACATCAAAGACCCAAGGATATCAAAATATAGAGGAATAATGCTTTCCTTTCGTCAGTGTGTATGAACTAGTTGTAACTTATTTATGTTGTTGGTACCAGTGATCTTCGAATATAGTGTGTAATGAAGGCTAGTCTGTTCTGATTATAAAAAGTTGATAATGAACAGTTTGAAATACGTTGAAAAATTTGTTATTTATCAATAAGAAAGGCAGATATTTAAGATTTTAGAAAAGTTAAAAAGAAAATCATAGCAAGATGGACGATAAATTACGACAAATGGAAGATGAGATGAACAGGTAACGTGAAATTATAAGCTACAAAATCATTCTAACCTCTTTAGAACTTTCGTGTCATCATTTCGTGTAAATTATATTTATGTTTCTAAAATGATAGCATTACGTATAAGTTGTATACTGCGTTATACTGAACGGCTCATTTCTTAGAAAGCAAATAAATTAATACAAGTGCATATACAGGTAACCGTATCGCTAAACATTTGTATGCCTCATGAATATGAGTGTAGCTAACTGTGCACATAACTATTTTTTAGATTCGAGGCTGAAATCGGCGGGCAGTTAGTCACACCGATGGTTAGGCCTGTAATTGGTGCAAATACATATAATCAAGTAGCTAGACAATTAGAACAACATGAGCTACCAACACCAGTTGTTGCTGCAGCGGCAGCAACATTAGCTTTTCCACCAATGATTGGATTTCCACCTCCACCACCTCCTCCACCGCCACCACCTCCACCACCTCCAATGTTAATTCCACAGCAAGTAGCAAGACAAGGTAAATGATATTAAAAATTAACTAACATAAAATTATATTTATTTAGTGAATATTTTGTACAAACATATCATTTGATACAGGTACGGTTCCTTCTATTACAACATATTCATCACCTGCTCAGATAAGTAACCCGTATTTACCAAATATGGTGGATCCGTGTTTAACTGCGACTCCAAAAACATACGAATCCACATCAGCTCCAATGATTCATCCCGAAATTATTGAACAGATTATCAATACAAAGATCCCAGAAGATGAAAGTAAAAAGAAACCAAAGGTAAAAGGAGTTAGCACGGCAGCAGAATTGGCAATTAGTCAAGGAAAAGCAAGCTCTATTATGGCAAATGCCAGTGCAGAAGAGACTCATCCGAAGGGTAAAGGAAAGAAAAACAAGAAAATCGTTCGGATGGCTGGCGGACAGATATGGGAAGATCCTTCTTTGTTAGAATGGGATGAAGGTTATTATTACAGCTTCATTTATATTATTTATAAATTTTTTCGTCTTACATATAGTTTACAACATTTTCTTTGTACATGCAGATGACTTCCGAATATTTTGCGGAGATCTAGGAAATGATGTCACGGATGAAATGTTGGTTAGAGTATTTGGGAAATATCCTAGTTTCCAAAAGGCAAAGGTAGTCAGGGACAAAAGAACAAACAAAACAAAAGGATTTGGCTTTGTCTCTTTCAAGGATCCACAGGATTTCATCAAAGCAATGAAAGAAATGAATGGTGAGTAGAAAAAAAATTACAGATTAATTTATTTTACATTTTTTTTTCAAGTTGCGTATGGGAAAAAATCTTTGAGCTAGGATGAATGTTCAAACAAAATTTAAATGTTTTATAGTGGTACATTTAAGAATCTAGAAGGGTGATTCTCCAGGTCAAAGTTATGAGATCATTTCATCCGTTTCGTAATATTTTGATTAGCAGATTCTTTTCATTTACCAAATGAGCCCCATCCGTAAGATATAAACAACTGTGGTATTATCGAGTATTGTCTTCTTGGTTGGCTAGGAGATCCATTACGTAATGCGATACGATAATTAGGGTGAGCTACCGGAGGGGTAGAAGCGTCGCTCGTTTTCGCTACCTCTTGTTCTTGTGTAGTACCTTGAATAATTCTGTATATTAAAATTTATAATCTACAGATAACCTCTTGCCCTATGATTTCTTCCTAAACTATGATCGATCTAACTACTTTGTTATTAATAATTTATTGAAAATGAGGTAAAAATTCTAGATACATTCTGTGTCAACATTTATTCTAAAGCATGAGTGTCCAACTTTTTAGCTTTCCTGGGCCTCATTAGAAGAAGACGGGTTGTTATTGGCCACGCATAAATTAATAGCTTGTTTAACTTGTACTTGTAATATTGTTAATAAGACTTTCAGTCGCAATCTCATAAAGTTTATAAATTTATGATTTTTTGTTGGGTCGCATTCACAACCGTCTTGGGTCACGGATTGGACAAGCCTGTTTAAAGTATAATCATTGACAACAGAGGAATAATATTTAATTTGAATTCAAACGAATTGAATAATATTTATGTTTTATAAATTCTATTTGAAATCTTCACTACGAGTTTGACACGATATTATAGGGCAAAGGGTTAATGGACAATTTTGATAATAATTGTTAATACGTCCTTACTGGCATGATTTCCACGAAGGCTATGGGGATTCATATAAAGAATAGAGAATGGCATTCCACCAGCACCCCAGCTGCGAGACATAACTACATCCTTTTTGAGCAATCTATTTTTATTTTGTTTAGTGTCCTGTAACGCCGTGCGAGTCTTTTTATCTATTACAGAAGCATTCTCTCCCCATGATTCAATGATCGTATTAGGATCTACGTTCGCAGCTTCCCTTCGTACGTTTATTCTGAAAGTCATATAAGAATACTTTCAAAGATCTTGATGAAAATTCATATACCCGTTCCTTCATTTATGCAGAATTTTTTTTTCGCGTTCCTGTTTACACGCGATATCAATTTACGCGATCTGAATACAGTGACACCGAATAAAATTTACTTTTATTTTCTGAGATGTCATTATTGTTATTTCTTTGTTCACACATTAACTGCCACGGCGGTTACCAATGACTGGAACATCCAAATTACTCGAGAACAATTACAACAAGAAAATTGATGTTGAATAAAAATATTTCATGGTATAAGTAGCTTAATAATTGTATAATATGAATACTGTGATACCAAATCATTAGTAATTGTTTCTAACACCACTTGCCTTTGTTCCGAAAGAATAAGTATTACTATATAAAGCGCTTGAAATTTTCGTGGCGTTAATGTGTTAATACAAGTTGGAGCAGTATCTAAAAGAGGAGTTTTACGCGGAACTTTGTAAATATGAAACTCTAATACGAGATATTTTAATCGCGTTATAGAGGGTACTTAGAAAATTAAAATGCATACTTTGGTAGGTCTTCCCCTATGGTCTCGCCAAGTTCTTCCATTGGTAACAGATCCCAGCAACCTCCAATGGAAGAACAGGGAGACGCCATGGTGTCGATCACGTATCTATTCAAATCATCCTTGATATCCGTCAGGGGAACAGCTAGAGACAAGGTCGAGAACACGGTCAGTGCAGAGGCAAAGATAACAGTTGGGAATATCATTTTTATTTTCGTTCGTTGTCAATCTCGTATTCGTTGAATGTTCCTTCCTCGAAACGCGTAATCGTGGTTTGGCTACAGCGGCGTGTCGTTCACTTCTTCCTTCCCGATTCTGAAAAAGAGAATGGTCCAAGTGATTGTCATTGTTGCAAAGTAAACTGTGGTTGCAAATTGGAACCGAACGTTGGCGACGATGCCAGCGGAAATATGCAACATTGCGTTGACTCAGTTGACTGTTGTTAGGCAGTTAGCTCGTAAGTTCCCTGTTCGACGACAGCGAATCGGCCTGTTTACATTTTCGAGAGATTTCTGCAATGGGTACGACTATTTATACAACATTCCAGCTTAATTTAGTACCGCGGAACGCGTGCGCTTGCCGATTTTAGTGACCACAGTATTGGACCATAATAAAAAAAGATTCCGTGATTGCCGTGGGAACGTTGGCCGGTGACGAACATTGTTGGACCGAGTTTCTGTGAAAAACGGAAATGTTCGGAAATTCTTCGCGTTGGTGACTTGTTGAGATAATGACTAAGTGTCAAGGAATGAAATCGAAGAAAGATTGGGTGACGCGGATAATCTACTCGGATAAACTAATCCGAGACGAAGAGAGTTCAGTAACCTATAAAGCGTATCATAAAGGGTAATTCGATCGTACGTAGGGTCAGCCTTATTTCAGAAAAAAAGATTGTATAAAATGAAGTGGTTTTTAATCCCCCCCTTAATGGAACAGTTTGTAAACTCGACTTAAAAATTAATTTTTATCGTTAAACGGTAAATGAAGGAAATCTGATTAGGTTCTCTGAAAGTTGAAATGTTTCAGGAGTAAGTAATATGATAATTTCTGCGTTACATAGTTTTCATTAAATGAAAAAAGGAGTTTTACTTTTTAATTATTTTATTAACGTTGGTTTGATGATTAACGTGTTAATAATTTCACTAATACAATCATTATGATGATCTTTTGTTTAGAAATATTTACTTTAATTAAAAACTTATAAGTGTTTTGATTTTAGCAAAAAATAGTAATTTTGCAACGAATTAAATGTACAGAACTAAATATATTATTAGGTTTGAGCTACAAGAAGTACCTTTTATTTAGAACATTCGTATATATTTATGATAACCTAATAACAATACAAATTTAATGTTCATTGCGCATTTCTATGCAACTGATCAATATATTTATGCACTTCTGAATAATTTTGTACAAGACTTAAACGTGATATCATGTACTAACTAAATAATTAGTGTATTAACACATGAATCACGTTATTATTATTGCGCGCTCAATCTGCTCAATGTTGCCGCATTAAGTAGCATTGTTTGTAATATACAAATATTTTCAAATAATCGCTGTTTAATTAAATAAACTATAGTAATTCGATTTGGTTGGGGGTCACCAGTGATCCCCATGCCATTCAACGTGTTAAAATATAATAAATGCATAAATAATAATCAATTCACTTAAGTAATAAGAACATATTGTAAAAAGAAAAGAATGTGCATATATTAATCGTATAAAATGTGTAAAATTTGCATGAAAAAAGCTTTCTTTATTGCATTCGGGTGTGTAAAATTACATCGAGTCGTTGTTTTAAAATTAATAAAAAGTGCAGAGTGATCGAAACTGTAGAAAGTGAAACGATCGTAACTTTAAATGATTAATTAACTACGATCTTTTTATACAAATTCAGATTTTTCTTTACCAATTCACACAAATAGGAATGAAACAATACCCCGTTTCATTGATTAAGAATTTCTCTAAATCATTCGGAATTTTTCTTGAAAACAGAAACATATATTCACATTCACCGGTGTCAATTAATTTGTTACAAATTAAATCAGCGATTCAATGGTAACGCGGTTAATGGACTATTCGTGAAATTTGCGTGAATTCTCGCTGTAAATTGATTATTCCCGTTGTTATATGGGAACTACAATTTCCTAATATCCGGACTTCAATTGGCATCTACGGGCTTCAATATGTCAGAGGTAGTTTCACGCGAAAACGCTGCCATAATTGCTCCATTCAATTCGCCTCGTAAGAAGCAATTTATGAAAAGAAAGTCTCTGATATTTCCTTCGACTTTCTCAATTTTTTAATTATACATTCATAAAAAACACAATACGAACCTAATAATACCGTAATAATCACGTCAAAATGAACCTCTGTATTCTCCATTTTAAATTTCTCGAAACATATCTAGAAGCTCAATGAATGCTCCATCTCCGTTATATGCCATTCATATTCATTTCAGTCGACGTTTTTAATACTAGAACTACAGAGCATTTAATACGATTGATATGTAATCCCTATAAAAGTTGGAACAATAGATAATTTTCATTTTTGAAATAGATAATTTTTATTTTTGAAATTATTTCGAATATTTAGTGCTTTTAACATTAAAACTATCGTACTAGTTAAAATGACTGATTTCGGTTTTCTTGTTTCGTAATTATTGATATCTTCAAAGCATTGAATATTGGAAATGATTTTGAAAATGAATAGTTTCACTTGAATATTATAATGAATGTTTCAAGAAACTGAAAATAATCTATTGTTACTACAATTCTTATAAGGAGTAGATATTAATCGTATTAAATACTAGTTCTAGTGTTAGTAGTTCTAGTGTTAATGTCATTCTTCTCGAGTAACCATTGGAAAAGAATTCCATTTAATTCCGTGTCCTATGATCTCAACTATAATCGATACAACTACATTGTCATTAATAATTTATTGAAAGAAGAGAGAAACTCTAGGCAATTTCTCTGTCCATGTTTTTTTTTAAATATAATAATTGATAACAGAAGAATAATATTTAATTTGAATTCGAAAAAATCTAGTAATATTTATGTTTGTTAAATTCTATGTCAAATCTTCACCATGAGTCTGACACGTTATTACAGAGCAAGGGGTTAACACATTGATTGTTATGAAAATCTTGAACGTTTTACGTAACATTAACTCTTTCGTTGCAAAGATAAACAGGAACAATTATTAATTATTTGGTATCACAATTCTTACGTTACACTATTATCTAGTTTTTTACATTACTTTGTATCAGTTATCAGTGACTGCTATGGCAATCAACCAGTTAATTGTTACACTTCCTCTGAATGTTAAGGGACTTTTTACTCTTGTCCACAGTTGAACACATTTTATTTAAAGTAGTAACGCGACTAACGACGATAAATAACTGTTCAATTGAAAGTGAAGAATTAGTTCCATGGAAGTAAAGGCTTGTAAGAATAAATTGTGAAATGCTATTTAATACGAATATTATTTTCAAATCATTTATTTATTAAGTATTTTAGTGTTTCCTTTATTATGCGCAATAGAAAGTAATAAATGAAAGTTTTTCGTTATACGACTAAAATACTTAGCAAATACGAAGAGTATGAGACTTATTGCAAATATTGGAATACGAACATATACATATTTGTGATTTTTCAGAGATTTTTTAATTGAATTGTCGTGGGAGAATATTTGAATTTCCTCCGGTGAAATTAAATAACAGGTATTTCGAATGTACATAAAATGGCAAATAAAATATGTTAGGATGATTAATAAATGTTGCAAACATTTATAGAATAATTATGTTTTGATTTCTGTTTATTATACTTGTTGCAATTGAAGACATATTTTCTGTTTTATGCTACTAATAAATCTTACCAAATAAAATATTGTTTTATGCGAATAAAATTCTCTTTCTCTTATAATACAGTTGCCAAAAGTAAATAAAATGGATGGTATAAACGAAGCAGTTCATAGAGTTTTTTAAATGTATTTTATAGTGAAGATGATATATATTTTTCAGATCTTATTTTCCTTTAACGTTTCCTTTAATGTGCGTTACATACAAGAAGAAAGTTAAATTATATGTTAGTGCAAAATAAATATTTAACATGGATAATAAAGTTGATATAACATAATGTCGAGTAGTAAAATAAATAAGTTCAATTGTAGATGTGAACATATTTCGATTTTAAGGTTTTATTTGTAACTTGTTACTAAATGCGCGTAACTGTGATGAATAAGAAGCCATTTCTGTTCAATATAAAACTCCAGCATTATTATTTCATTGCTACGTAAAGCTAATAACACAAAAAAATACTTCAATATAACATGTTCTGAAAGGTTCTGATCAATGGTTTAATCAAAGATTCTTTGTCATTACGTGTCTTACAAAATTCATTTAATTTAATCACTGCATAGGTGAAATTCGTAAATGTTCAAACAAATTGTTAATCTTTATGATTTTTATTTAAATCAAAGAAATTTAAGACTAGGAAAATAGTTGTACATATTTATAACACTGTACAAGTCAGCTGATTCCATGGCAGCTTCCTACATTTAGTCTCATACAAAGTCCAACGTTTAAGATTGTAACAGACAATTATTCAATTTTCTGTGAATGTATTTATTGAATCAATTTATTGAATGAAGTACGATTGCAAAGAAATGTTTATAATCCGGAAAATTTCGATTTTTTGCAAATGTTGTAGAAATGTATTAACACTGAATTTTTCAAAGCTATCCTTATATATTCTCATATATTATTAAAAAGATTTTCATTGTTCCTAATCTACCTTGACTATCACTAGACTTTCAAATGATTATTTTTTTTTCTTTCCACACTGCATGTCTCTCCTTGCATTCAATGCATTTCAAGTACACTAATAAAGATGTAAAATTCCATCGTATAATTTTGTAAATCATAAGAAACAATCGAATTTTTACTTATAATATTTTTACTTATATATAATTATTTATAATATAAATTCCTTATAATTTATATAGTATGAAATGAAAACTATGAAAATATGTGTACAGTAACGTTTGAATCAGATTTCACCTTAAAATTCAGGAAGTTCTTTGCATTCGAGAGACGATTCAGTCGCCATTTGATTCGATATATCAAAATTATAGAGTTTGAGATTCAATATCAAAATTCGCATAATGTAATTATACAATAAATATTGAAATAGAACAGTTATAGTTCTTAATCTGCAGAATATCCATATTTATGTTTTAAAAAAATATCAATATTTCATTAGAAAATAATAAATATATTGATAACCTTCCGAGTGCAAAGGATTAAAACTTCGCTTCAGTTTCAGTATTTACGTAACGATCTACAGTTTGGATATGACTTGATGTCCAACTGAACAATGTAGGGATAAGAAATGTCTTTCTAGTTTACAAATATATAATTTTCATTACGCGTAATCGTATCGACGATTTGTAAATTAATGATCGAAAATATTAAGAATTGTAAATGATTAAATATTGAAAAGTAAAACCAACAGAAAATTCAGTGAGAAAAAATGAAGAGTGATTGATTAGTCAAATTCTTCAGCCTAGCAATAAAATGATCTATCAGTATGTACGCGTAAACAAAGAAATCTCCGTTCCCTTTATTATCGATCCGATCCAGCGGGGACACCCTCGGATCCCACATGAAAACGGTCTATTAGGTACCGGAAAAAGTTCGTGTGGTTTTCTTATTAGCAATGAATTGAAGTCCGATTTCAGTCAGTATTTTACTAATTTAACCCCTTAGATCCGGGGAACATTATGATGTACACTGTTTTACGACATCAATATTTCACAAAATATTAAAGCTGTGACAGGCAACCATATTTCAACCGTCTATTTCTACCAAAAAAGTAGATATACTATCACTATTTTATTCAAAATAATGTCGTTACTGATGATACATTGAATGGCGATCCATTGTTGTTACATATGTAAACATAATTTTGTACAAAAATTAGGTCTGCAAAAGTTAATAAATGAAACTGGTATTGGCAGCAAGTTATATTTATGTTGTTCTTATCAAATAAAATAAATTATTGGGTTGATGCAAAAATTTCGTTCCACTTACGCGGTTAAAAACAATCGTTTTCTTTGAAACAAGTCACATTTATTTTCAAACTATCACAACCTGTACAAGAATCACATCTTTCTTCGTTTTTATTTAATGGTGGTTTAGCCAGTGACCAGTTGAGCTACTAAACTAAATTTTAAATCTAAAAATGTCAAAATTTTCCGTCAATCCTATATTTTACAAAAATGTCTTCTAGATTCAAAATTTTGATTTAAGAACCCGTACGAACTTTCCTGTTACCCAGTAGGGACGGACCAACGAAGGAACTCGTCAGGACTGATCAAAAGCGATCCCGTTCCCATATTTTCAATCACTAATCTACTCTTCGTCAATACGGTTACGTGTAATCAACGAAAACTATAGAATCGTAAAACAGGAGGACACTTGCCCCTGTGTCTATCCGGTAGACATCAAGTCATCTGCCAACTGTAGATCGTGGATCTCGGGAATAAAGGCACTCACCGTGGTCGTTGGACACTGCCGTCCGTTCGTTTCTCGATCAACGGATCCTCCTCGCTCGTTGATCGCTCGTCGACGATTCTCCTCGGGCTCTCTCGGAGCGGTCGGTCATTCGTTTGCCCGTCGGGGTGACTGGGACGAAGTGTATCGCGACGTTGAACCGTCTCGCTACTCATTCAGCAACCCCTACCCCGGCCGGTCCTCGCGCCCCGTTCCTGACCCCTCCACTCGATGGGGAACAGCCAATCGGGTGTCTTCGGGTTTCTCATCATCTTGACTCTCTCATCAGTTTTCTCCGTCTTTTCTTCCCTCTCCCCGTTTTTTACCGTTTTCTTCCTTTCCCGGCGCGTTCGTCATTGCGGAGGCACTGTTGTCATCGCCGCGGTTGTCATCCCCGGCGACACGCGTGCTCTACTATCGTCATCGAATATTCCGCGTTACCGGGCTTCGGAAGAATGTGATCCGATTACAGGTTAACCCTTTGCACTCGATTTATTTTCAATGTTATTGGGTGTAAATTTGTGTTTTGTTTTCAGGAAATAAATTAAAGTAATTTACAGCGGTAGAATTCAACGCTTTATGTTTAATTCATTTATTATTAATATTATAATAAGATTAAATTTTTAGAATCTTTTAAAGTGTGGTACTTTTAGAGTACCACAAATAAAGTACAACGAATTTATATTGCCGTTTCCAGCATGACATACGAGTGCAAAGGATTAACACATTCCGTGCCACCGGAAATTTCATTTATATCTTGCTTACAAAGTGCACTGATCTTTTCAATGAAGTATTCAGTTACATTCAAGTTTTTGGTGACTTTTATGTATATATTTTGATATTCGTAGCCACGTGTCTCACAAAAAATGTTTCTTTGCAAAAATTGCGCGTGTACCAAAAATGGTACACGTGGCACTGAATGTGTTAACCGTTATCGGACGCTAGCTTTGTATACATGACTCCCACTGGTTGTGGTTGTTTTCAGTAAATATGCGAAGAATGTTCAGTACTGTAAGAACATTTTTGTTATAAATTATTTATAAGTTTTCAATGCATAGTCTTTGAAAGAATATCCACCATGAAGACGGCTTTTCTGTTGCACGTTTCACAGAAGTATACTGTTGGTTTTCTTCCTCCAGGCAACTTACTTCTTCACTTGAATATTGAGTAGGTATAACAGCTTTTCTTTTCTTAGGATGTAATAAAATGTCACTGCCAATCTCACAAGAAGGATCAAAATCACTTTCAGAATTGTCTTTGAAAAATTCACTGCCACTATCGCTATCTAAATTCATAAAATTTCCTTTATTCATTTTTCAGGATAAAAATAGTAAAATTTGATTTAAAAAGACACTGTTATATCACTGGACATGTTAATCGCTTCGTTGGTAATGTTTAATTGACAAGGCAATTGTCCGCGCATTCCACAGACAGCGAGTATCAATATGATTCGTCTTGTAATCTCACACGTGCGATACGACCGTAGCAACAAAGTAGTGTTGTCGCGTTAGAGGTGACTTACGACCGTAAAGGGTTAACTTCTTCCTATGATAACTCCTATATAAATAAATCTCTTCTAAATGTACAGTAGCAGCAGTCGTTAATACTTATAATAAATTACCAGAAAACTGTTGTATTTAACAGTAAACAGGCTGCGACCGGTCAAATGGCTGATTTTAAAATTTGATTGAAAAATTCTGCATTTTCTCCTGTTCATTTAATTTTGTATCAATTTTTATATTGTCTGATTAATCAGTTTTCAATTTTTGTCTTTCTGTTCGTCTCTGTTTCCAATAAGAAAAATTAACCAATTATTCGATTGGTTACGGTAGGAATAGTTATGTATTAAAAAATACCAGTATGTTTAGTGTTAAAAAGGATTACAAAACAATAAATAATTCATTTAACAATAAGTAAGTATTTTTTTGCAATAATTCAATAAATATGCAGAGCCCACTTCCCCCTTCGCTTTTGCTTTACAACTGGATAATTCATACACATATATGCACGGGCTATGAACTGTGCACTTTTTTCCTGTCCGCTTTTTTTTGACCACCGATGATATAATATTATAGAGATATAATATTATAGTGTGAATTAACATAATTCATCAATCTTCAGATGAGGAATAAAATATCCTGTTCACAACGGTATATATACAACAGTGTATACTACAATCACTTAACAGGTGTTACTCATAAACTTCTCTCTCATTTACTCTATTTCACACATCTCTGTCTCTTTTACTTTCTTCTCTCTCAACAATAAAATCAATCATACGCACAATTACAACACTATATATGCGGTGTTGTTTACGTATGGTGTCAGTATACGCGATTTGAATTTAGTGGCACCGAATAAAGTTTACTTTTGTTTACTAAAATGTTATTTTATCTTTTTATTGAACTATGTGAAATAAACATATAGTTCGAAAACTTGAAAATACCAGCTTTTCTTCTGAATGAATTGTTTTCTTTTGTACTGACAGACTCCACTTACGTGATTTCCATTCTCGTGAAACGGATCCACCTGGAACGGGTATTCCGCGTAAATTGAGGGACGGGTGTATTGACTTTTACTCGAATGCAATGTAGTTGGATTTAATTATAAATTGATTTTTATAACGTTCTGTTATCGCTGGTACTGTTAATTGTAATCTAGCATTGATTAGAAGTTGCAGTTTGATCGTTAGTGCTAACCCTTTGGAGAAGAGGAATTTTGAAAACATTACAAGCTTTTAAATCATAAAAAGTTAAATTGTGGAATTGTTAATTAATGTAATCCCGGGAAAGCTGGTCGCTTCAATTATCTTGCAACATGTATAATCAATTCTAACATTTATATTCTATATTTATAACCTAATTTATACTTATAATGAATTATAAAGAACTGATACAGTTACTATTATAACTAACGTCATCTAGTACACTTCAGTATTATTTGTGGACAGCTTGATCTCTTCGATTCTTCGTAAACATTTGTTAAATGTAATCTTTTCTATCATTTTTATACGTTTCAAAGAAAATGTATCTCCTAATCTGATAAATACATGTACAGATATGAATGCTCGCATACATGCATACATGTCCATTCTGTGTATTTACCCCAACTTATGTCCTTTTTAACTTACGCCGCGGACCGTGGGTTGTAGATCGCTTCCCTCCACGGATTCTTCTTCTGACGCGGATAGAAGCGATCCCGATGAATCAGAGTCATACGAATGGTACGCGCACGTTGACCACGCGCCCGCCCGGTTCAAATACCACGCATATTTCCGTCGATATATTTATTGTGGGCTGAGGGACACGCTCGATTACAAAATAAACATATTGTCACCCAAGGTGCTCATATTTCAGCTCGGATCGCTCTCTGGGACTATGGTAGTCGCTTGCTCGAATCGACCGCGTTCTTCTCGTGGAATTGCGGGATTCGATGTTCGCGACTGGTGAATCAAATCGAATTACTGTAATTTACTTAATTAATCAGTCAACTGCGTTTGACGCGTCTATACGTCATGTTAAAGCTTGAAATGATAATAATTCTTTCAACGATGAATTCTTTATTTTTTCAGATAAACATGTAATTAATTCTTCTTTCTTTTGCTTTGGTTTATCATTAAAATATACCCTAGGTGCATTTGTCCTGCGTTTGACGAGTACACACTTCATTTTTTTAAATATATTTATAACTACTAAAACTAAACTCTTAATATAGGATTCAAGTATTAATGTACAAATGTTAAGTTAAAACAGAAAAAAATTATTTAACAAGTGATAATAATTAAGTTCGACAAGTAACTTTTATTTGTAAGTATAAACTGTTTCGTTCGATCCCTAGTTTCAGTGAAAGAAGTTTCAAGCTGAATGTTACGTTTCAGTTTTTACGACTCGTTATGTACATGTTTTGACAAGTCAAAACGGTTTAGAGGCTTTTGTTTTTTTTGGCACCATAATTGCAATTAAAGTTTTTTACAAAGTATTATTGTAATAGAAATATTATATTATTTATTTACATATTGTCATTTTGCATTACAAAAGCGACATTTTTGTTTTCATTGAATTTCCCTACTTTAAATTTTCGTCGCTATTCGTGTGAATAATTATGTTTTTGTCAGTTAATAACTATTAATAACAGTAATAAGGAGCAGTATTTCGATAAAAATTTTAACTTTCGTAGACACGTTATTTTTACCGTTTTATCAAATTTTAATGTATTCAATATCTACCGGTAAGGTTACAATACGGAGAAAATGAAATGAACATTAAATGTTTCCGGAGAAATATCAATTTTGAAAGAGGATCTGAAATAATGTGCGGGTGTATTGTAGCTAACGTTACCGGACGTTCATTAATTATAAACGAGAAGATTAATAAATGAAGTTATTTATATGTATTGAAGAATAATATAAAATAAAGTGAGGAGAACATGATACTGTCATTCAAATTTTTGTAATTTTTTAATTAAAATTCTTGAATTTAAACGAATTTTTAATTTTACATCAGAATCTATTTCTTAGGTAACTGATTTAGCTATTGCATAGTAATAACTATTCAAAAGTAACAGAATATCAAGAGAAATCAGTGCAATTGGATTATTATTATTAAAGTTAAAAATCTAGTAATTAAAGATAAAATATAGAAATAATATATTTTCAAATGAAAGATGATGTAACTTGAAATTAGTGTAGGTGGTACATTTCAAATTACTGATGTAGCTCAAACAAAATGAATAATGAAAACAATGTAATGAAAACAATGCAATAGCAGAGAGAAAAATATTCACAAATTTGCGTAAATTTAATTAAATGAAAATTCCAACTTCGTTAGTCCAATTTTAGGTTCGCTTATTTACTTATAAACTTGTTTCTTCCAATTATAACAACTGTCTTCGAACACACCTGCGAGATCCATTAAGACCAACGAGGAAGTTGAATTTTCTATTTTTGCCAGGTGGACAATGCACAGTAATTAGTGGTTAATCATTGACAATGAAGCCAATTGTTTACAGGCTGTCAACACTAATGATCCATTGTGATTAAGAATATTATTAACAGCGGTTAATTAAACAAAATTTCTTAATTCTGATTAATCATTAGGAATTTTTATTTTGCACAAAGTTATGAATGAAAGTGATACAGTAAAAGGTTTGTTGAGTATTAAGAAAAAGGGCATTCTAAATCTTAAGATGACTTCTTAACGAATCTTTTGTAGGGTGTAATACTCGCTAAGCCCAGTGCATCAATACCTCTCTTTGATAAAAAATGTTTTACAAGAAAAATTAAAATCCGGATCCGCTACTTAATTATTTTTTTCTCATTATTTTACTGTTCTGCGTCTTACGTAAATTCTATTATAATGATGTGGATTTGTTCAGAGTAATGTATTATTTTACTGAACGAAATCCGTTATTAAAGTGTAGTGTTATTTGTTATATAAAAAATGTGTTAAATATAATTCTTTCTATTTTGAGAGAGCAATAATTTGCCGTGACAAAGATTTTAATGAATGTTGAAGGGTGAGAGATATTGTGTTGTAAATCTGTTTTTGTACTCAGTCTCGTGGAATAGATTTCAATGTGAATTGATTTTCTTTAATGGATGCTATATTGTATTTAAATGAAATGCCATATTTTTTATAATAGAATGCTACCTTTTTTATACATAGATACAGTGATACTGTATATTAAGACTAATTCAACAAGCTATACAACATATTCAGAAAAACATATTCAAAAGATTAGAAAAAATGAGAAAAAAGAGTTTATAATATTATTGCATAGACTTGACATCAGGAAAAGATCACGAACTGAAAAATATATATTCATAGTCATATATATTCATATTCATTAAAATATTAAAAAGACAATCGTTCTTCATTAACCATGCATAGTAAAAAACACAATTTATTAATTTATTGTAACTCTTAATCATGTAATATCTAATTATTTTTAATGTTATCGAAAAATACATGCAAAGATATACACGAATGATTGTTTTTGAGGCAACGTTTTCGAGAAATTAAGTTTGAAAATTCATCGTGTACACGCATGCTTGTCATTCCTGCGTTAATAACGATGTAAATATCAGTAATGTCATGCGTGATCTTGTATCGACTTTGTTGTCTTATTGAGTACCTTTCGTCGGTCAGTATCATTGAAACCGTCGCAATGGTACGAGTGTATACACAGATATACTAATTACACCGGAAAATTGCGACAGCAGTGCTTCAGCTACAGCCGTATATTACAAAGAAATATTTGCACATAGTCGTCACTAACATTAACATATAGCACAAATTAGCTTTGTTTGTATTTTAAATGAAAGATTCTCGTAAACTCTGTCGAAGGTTGTTATATCTGTAGTCTTTTTCTACCCAGAAACACCATATTCAGTAGAAATGAGCATGAAGAACTTCTGATCAATTTCAAGAAGTAAGTAGGAAGGATGTAAATAATGATGGTGGGTGAGTTATACAATTTTTTTCTCCTTTTTCCATTTGCAATGCATTAGCTTTGTTATATATGTCTCACGATCACAACTTTTTACATTACTTTCTGTTTATACCACGAAGATCATCAGTAGCTATTACCAGAAAGTGTTATACAAATGTAAACATTTTTACAATAGTATACACAGTATTTTTAACAATGCAACTGTCACGTTTTTTAACCTTCTTTGTGTAAACGAATATTTTCACGTTAACCGTGTACAGGAGTGTAATTGCACTTCATACATTTTCAGTTGAAAATGTAAAGAAAAAATTTAACTGCACAAGCATTTATTACTACACTTAGTCCTCGATTTACACGGCATTCGTGGTGAAGATTTCAAATAAAATTTAACAAATATAAATATCACTTAATTCTTCCAAGTCCGAATTGAATATCATTTTTCTGTTATCAGTTGTAATGCTTCTGAGTAAATGTAGACATGGAATAAGTATAGAATTTTCCTCTTTTTTTAGTGACTTAAACAATAAAATATGTCTGTTGAGAAAGCAATTGGGAAAGAAATCATAGGGCAAGGGGTAACAAACATATCCTGCTGTAAATATGTTAATGTCAGTGGAGAGTTAATAATCAACTGATATCGGGTATTTATGAGTATCTCAACATTCGAATATCTCGCATACCCGGTTAAAGGTATTAGCTTTTGTCGCGACTTGTTTACCTGCATTGGATCGCAGCATCTCTCGCCACGTGAAAAATATTGTGATGGTATTTTTCCGATAACGCGATTCTTTTTTTTATTAAAAAGAATTTCACATGACAACAGTTGTTCCAAAGATTATTTGTATTATTCTATTAAAAATAATTATAGCCTATAAAAATCATTACAGAAATGTAATAACTAGTTTACTTGAATAATATTATTTATCCCTTCGCGGACGAGGACTTTTTTAAACATTCGACATTTTCAACAGTGGCAGCTGAATTATATAAAGAATTTCCACCCAGTAAAGGAAAACAGAGATGTACATCGATATTTTGTTATTCGAATAATTAAATTATAGGTCGTTAATTTTGTAACGTGGATATGAAAGTTTGATGTCTCCAAAATGTTGACATTCGTTCTTAAACGGTTAAATAACATATAATTTCGGTAATGGCTGTTCTTCTTAGGTAACGGTACGTTCGATGAAGTGTTTGCTTCCCCGTTACTTCATTGTATTTAGAATTGGTTATTCGAGCTGGCAATTAAAGCGAGGACATAGTACCGATTCATGTGGAGGGGGTGAAGAAGAGATGATAACGGTATCGATATCGCAGATGCTCAAAGGAGGAGTCCAGAAAATCACCAAATTTATTGTTCAGTAGATATTACCACGATCATACTGTGGCAATATGGGTCAAGGATTAATTTAAATATTTCAACTCTAAGAATACCATCAGTGAGCAACGAGCAAAGCTTAAAGAGAGGGTATGCAACTGTGCAAGACTAAAGACAATAGGCGATTTTAATATTTTCCTTTTATCTATTTTTTAGTGATGAAGAGCAAAGATATTATTAGTATATTAAGTTTTTACTATTTAACCATTCAGACCTGGTTTTTGAACTTACCTGACAACAAACGATTGCTATTTGATACAACATTGGTAATGACATCTATTTTCAATAAAATATGGTATAAAATAAAACTTCTATATAATAATAAAATAAAATACTAGTTTTCTGATAAAAATAGGCTCGAAACAAGGGTGTATACATGGTTGCTTGTTATAAGTTTAATATTTTTGTTTACACTCGGTCATCGAACTGTTTACCTTTATTAAAACCTGTTTTAACGAAGTCACTAACGAAGTTCACCCATTCACTGAAACGGTGGTAAAGAACACGTTAAATAATAAACAAACGGGAAAAAAAGGATTTCACACTGAACGAGTGATCAAACGATCGAACAACTGAATGGGTTGCTTTCATCTCAGGTTGGCGAAAAGAATAATTATATTTTTAAAAACTCGTAGGTCGCGTTCGGTCGATAGTCCCGAAAAATTCAAAGTGATTCGGACCTGCTCTCGTTCGAGGAGAGAAACCGATCACGCGAAACAATTTATGTGTCTGTAACTCTTATAGTACTATTCCCTATATGCGTATATGGACTTAGAAAAATAAGCTTATCTTGTTCAAACAAAGCTTTGTTTTAAAGAATTATAATGTATATATAGACAATTTATAGATAATGAAGGAGAATATATTTTAGATTAAAAACAGTTTTGTTTATCTTTATTTGTAAAACCAAAGAAATATCAAAATCGCATTATTTATGGGATGATCCAATATTTTTAAACTTCTAATTTCCAAGATCCAAATGAACGAGCATTCGTTTCTCTAGCAACAATAGAATAATCTTTACAATAAATATCCGTAAAGCTAGTGTTAATAATTACTATGCGCGAAAAAGTGCTCGTCTACTGCACTACGTTCCTCCCATTTCTTCTTTAGTCGTGCAGAGCGTCTCTGCATTGAGCTGCACCGAAAGGGTTAACGGCCACTTTGTTCCGGCGTGACAAAGAAAGGTAGTACTTGGAGAGCTCGACAAGTGGCGCGCAGAGAATTCGGTCAGACGCAACAAGTAGTTCGAGCATACGCGCCGTATGATCCAACTCGGCCGGCTCGGATCGCGATCGTCTTCCTCGATTGACGCGTCTCTGCTAACATGCGGAGTATGACGAAGGATGGCATCAACGTAACTTGAACAAGGAAAGCTATCGTACCTAGAATTTCAAAAAATTATGAAAGTTAGTTTGTAAATAGAGTAAATCGAGCGTAATACATTGCAATTTTTTGTTGTGCTGAATTTCACTTTGAAGGGGTGAAACCACCTGCTGAAAAAACGCAAATTTTTCTTTCCCGTGAATTATCTTGAGAACGGTAAACTGCTAAGCATTAGTATAACACTAATTCGTACATTTTCCGATTAATCAGTTTTGTAATTTTTGTCTTCCCTTTTCTTTCCTTTTTCACTAAGAAAAATTATATCATCTAACTTGTTTATCTTTCTTTTGTAGCTAATCATTTAATTAGTTACGATAGGAATAAGTATTTACGAAGTACCAATACGGTTAATGATAATTAAAAAATATATCAGACCGATCGGTTACATCGACAATGAATGTGTTAAGCAAAAACTGCTTGCAAATCATCGATCCACTCGACATATCACTATCATCAGTCGTGAGGCCAATTGGACCCATTGGCAATAAATGTGTCAACACACGAACATCAAATCCGCGGCCTAAAATCATTTTTATACGCTATCTGAAAATAGCGGTGTGGAGTCACACCTACGTGATTAAATTTTACATAAGATAAATGTTTCAATGACTAACCAGTTAAGGCTGTAAGGAAAGTATATTTATATTGAAAATATAGCTATTTATTTTTATTGCAATTTTATATTAAATTTAACATAACTATAGTTTATATTAAAATATAAATTATAAATGTAAATTAAATACAATAATAATAAATATAAATAATAGTTATATTAAATTTAACATTTAATTAAAATATTAAAAACTTTAATTGGTTAGTTATTCGCACATTTACCTAACGTTTATGAATAATGCATATATTCTACGTTACGGCAAATGCTATTATTTTTAGTAAATTGCAATATATGATAAAGTTTCTTTACGAAAATTTATGTCCTACCATCGTGCTCGAATGCTTTCGTTATCGACTACGTCTCGTTCAATTTCGATTTTGATGAAAATATTACTGTTTCGAAGTACTGGTGAAATATTCAAAACTGTTCGGTTAGATTCGAACCTAGTTTGCGTTACGGCTGATCGCATTTGTGACAATGACCGATCGACTCGAACGAATACGTAGTTTGGTTCCCCCGATCGAAAGAACTCCCGGAATTTAGAGAAGAATTTGTGAGCGTGTGGGAGGCCGATGACGCGCAGAAGAAAAAAAGGAGTCAAGAAACAGAGATGCCACTCTCGTTTCATGCGCTTTATCTTTAGATTTTATCTTTTATCTTTAGAATTTTCATTCAGAAGCCGCAAAACGTGTCAGGTTGAAACTTTATTTTTCTCTTCAACTTTCTTACACGTTTCCTTTAGGGTTGTGCCAATCAAATTATATAAAATGAACTTTACTAATAATATATCGTATTATTTAAGTAATCATTATTTTGAGGACAATCTTTTTTATACATAAACTCGTCCGATAAAAACGATTTGCTTTGAGCAAAATTTTTGTGCAATGAATATTACACGATTTAGAAATTGAAAATTTGATTAAATTAACTTTGATAAATTAAATATCATATTGAATACTTCTCGTAATTCTTTGTAAATGTTATAAATAGCTGTATAAAATGCTACGATTACGATAAATATAAAGCCATTTGGTTCTGTTTTCTTCTAATTTCTGGATATTAACATTTTACCTACATTTAAGTTTAAATTTAGACTGGAAATATAGTGAACAATATTTTAATCAAAACTGACGCAGTTCTATATTTCAATAATTTATTTGAGCTGATGCATAAGAGAAATAGGGGAATAGAAAAGGGGAAAAGTAGAGCCACGGAAATGATGACGCTTTGAACGGATATATGAGTGGCTGTTTGAGGTACCTGGTTTCAGCTAGGTGGAACCTTGCGATCGCTATGACTAAATCTACACAGCTGATCCGTGGTTCTACAATAAGTTTCGAACATTGTTGAATTATTTCTCGTGTAAAATGAGAATTATAATTAGAATACAATTTTCAAAATTATATTGACCCATTTATTATACTCTTATGTAAAATGTTAGGGTGAATCGTAAGTACCATCTTTTTATTAATCCCTTCAGACCTGTTAATAACATTTGAGAACTAATCAACCCCTTGCCTTACGATTTATTTAGTGTCACATGTTTATGCTTATACTATTTCATTTTGTAGTATTACAGGTTCAATTAAATTTCTTCTTTTTATTTAAGGGGTTAACCCCTTTTTTTAGATCCCAAAGAAGAACTTTTAGGAAGAATACATTTCTTTTACAATATTAATTATCTTAAAATAAATATTTTTATAAAAATGCTATTATATAACTGTCAAAAACAGGTGGTTATTATTACATCGATTTTATATTAGTGGCTTCTCGACTGATTCGCATTTTATTGATATTGAAATATGTGGTTTCAAAGCAATGCCACTGAGAACAAAAGAGTTAACACCAGTTGTGCGTCCATGAATACGGGTTAATTAAACATTTCGACCAAGTATGCCTTGACCGCGTCGATTTGGCGAGTGTCTTCCAACGATAAGGGTTTATGATGGCGTTGTTTCATGTAAATGCTTATGACCGATAAGAATCAGCACGTACGGGTGTGGGATCTACATAATACACAAATATAAATTATCTACAAATACCTTAGAAAATATCCATTTTTGTAGACATCCACTTTATCAATACAAACGAAAAAATACAATATTTCCTTTCAGTTATTTCTTATTTTCTACTATGAGAATTTAGTGTATACAAATATCGCGTGGTACATATGTGGATTACAAGACTTTAATACAAATTTTTGTGCTCTTAGAGACCACCTTTTCAAAAAGGCTGATCTCGAGTGGGTTAAAGAGAAGTCCAAGTTGAATTTAGACCAAGCAGTTCCCTGGCCTGCTATTATCACTTTAATTCAAATGAAACTTTTCAGTCTGGAAATTATACTTTACCCCAGAAGAGAACTGTGTACTGATCTTCCGTCGTTTAAGTAACTACATTATTTGTTTGCAACTTTCTATTCTTGTTATTAAAGTTTGATGACGTCAATGCAACGACATTCGTCATTAAAGACCTAAGAGGATTGAAATACGAGATTGTTAGATTCGGTATTCTGTTCGTGTGGTTTGTATTACAAATTTAAGCACAATTTGTTCTGAATATTCAGCTTCATCAAAGTTTCGTGTTGCGAACGGTCATTAGACAATCAGCCTATTTTTATCGATCAGTTGATTATTTTTTTTTAATTATTTAATCTTATTTCTTATTATTTTCTATTTAATTATATAAAAATATAGCGATTGTACTATTTAGTATTTTTTTAAAAAGCTTGAACACTAGAACTACCGAGCAGTTAAATTGACTTCTCTATGACGGTACGATCGGTTAATTTTTATATTTCTAAGTAGGAAATGAAAGGAAATAAAAGTGACCGATTAAAAGAAAAATAAAGCAAATATTATAGTGATTTGATAATCAGTAGATAAATTGCACGATGGTATTTATTTGAAGACTTGGAGGATATAAGTGCGTAGATGGCTTTACTTGGTCGCAGCTGGACGAGTCACGCGTGCCTCTTTTGTCGCGTTTCCAAAACAGACGGAAAGTGGCAAGAAAGATGGGTGGCGGCGTGGGCGATCGCGAAACAGCCGGAGAATTGATGGTTGCTCCGAGGTCGCGTGCCTCTCCCAGATAGAACCGCTCTTACTAATGCACCCGAAAGGATATTTTTGGCTTGAGAATGATCCTGCGATGCATCCAACAGCTAATTTTTGCGAACGTTCTTCCATCGCCTTTGTTTTTTGATCGAATTTTTATTACCTTCCCTTCGCCGTTTATTCTTTTTCTTGCACGTTCAGATTCTCTTTTCTCTATTTGGGGAAGACTTTGTAGTGAAAATGAAACGTGCTGCGGAAATAAATTTAAATCAATGAATAATCAAACGTTTTATATACTAATGAGCTATATATGCTTACTTCTGTGACAATTAATAAATTATTATAAATTGTAATAATAATACTTGTATGAATTATTATTTATATAAAGTAATTGCAGTGGTCATCTTTCTATACTTTGTACTTTATGTGTATATGATATATTGGATCTTATTGTAAATTTCACTTACTTAATTTCATCCTTTTCTGAATTACTGTTTGATAATAGACTGTTCACATCAATACGTGAACTTGCATCATCCACATCCTGAGTCACCGCTTATATGGATCAGATTTTTTATGACCCACACAACAGGTCATCGGTCTCGAATCTATTAAGGCTGATTTTCCATTTAAGTGTTATTTTAAGTATATTTAGGGTCTTCCACTAAGAATCTAAAAAGTAATTGTAATATTCATTTATTATTCATTATTTAATATTCAATATTTCTTTGAATATTCTACTGATATAAAAAATTTGATGATATTTTAACCTTTATAGAACCGACAAGGGCTTTTTTCAGGCTCTGTACAAATTTTCAAATCCTGCGCGATATTTACTTTGCGTAAAAGTTATGTTATAGCAAAGGCGCGTTAACGCGTGGGTGTGATCGATTTTGAAAAGAAAAAAAACAGTAAACTCCGAAGAGTTTACTTTAAATATCCCCGAGTACGCGACGTACTCAACCCTTTGACAAGGTTTGCACGCATGAAAGGGGATGCGGAACGTTGGAATTTAGTTTTCGCGGGAACTACTTCATACAAAGTGTGTACAGGGTGTCCCATTTTAATCTACGAATGCAATTGTCCTCGAAACTATTCGTTATTCAAAACATCTCTCAACTGCGTTTCTTCTGTTCTGATGGATTTTCGATGTACAATATAGATAATAGATAATAGATAATGTCATCTCCAGTTTCCAAAGATGAGTCATTCTACTGAAATCGAATCGACGAATTATCATTACGCTGGGAAGAGGTCATTAGTAACGGTGGAAATTATATTGTGCAGTAAATATTAATAAACGCATTGAAAATGAATTATTTTATTTTAATTCATAAGCAGATAGAATTTTCCGGTAGACTTAATAGTTTTTCGTAATATGATTATACTTCAAACAATAGTAGTATATTGAGACATTTTTCAGATAACGAATATTGCCGGAGATAATTGTGTGTATAGATTAAAGTGGGACACCCCGTATATCACTAAACGTGTTCTGGATATCAATTTCACTGCTCCGGGAACTTTGCTTCTGGAAATTCAACGTCGATCGAAGCTGGCAGGTGATGTTATGCAGAGTGCCTACACAATCGAGACGAGTCGCGTACCGCTGCTGGAAAGTTTTCGATCACTTTTCCTATCTTTAAAAATACATAGTATAGAATAATTCAACAGAATGTTACTTGAAAGCAACATATTCATCGCCTGTTCCCTTTTTAGGTCACCATACTATATTCAAATTTACTTACTGTAAATGTATGAATTTTTAATAATAATGCCTACAAAATTTAAATATTATTGTTATTATTATTATTATTATTATAAATTCACAGTTTACCAGCTTTGACCCACTTTGAACATTACCATGGATTTTTTTTAAAAAAGCTGTAGATCGCTAAAATTAAAAGTCAGTCGGAAGGGTAAACAAAATTATATGAAAAAAATCTGAAATTAAATATTTTTCGGGGTGAATGTGTGGAAGAGCTTCGTCTTCATCGATCTCATTGCTCTGGAAATGTATTATTGTAATGTTTACAAGAATTTCTACTATACTTGTCTTAATTTTGAATAATAACGGCATTTCAGTTTTCAACCTCAGCTAGTAGAGCTAGTTTATTGAGGTGAAAATGCACGTTATTACTTCATAGGCAAACAGTAAGTTTCCATTATGGTTAGACTATAGATACTCACGCAAACTCAAATATGGCAGGGCGTGACTAGAAAAACAGAATTAGGATAAACAATGGTTTTTCGATCGAAAATTGATGATGCTATATCGAGTCTTTCTATTTACGTTACAAACGTGTTACACGATAATACTAATTTTAACTCCTTGTCTTACAATATCGTGCCAGGCTCGTGGCGAAGATTTCTAATATGGTTTAACAGATACAAATATCATTCAGTTCTTTTGAGTTCAAACGAAACATTATTTTTCTTATCAACAATTTGTATGATTTAGAGTAAATCCAGAGATAGAAAGAGCATAGAACTTTGTTTTACAAATACAATATTAACGACTAATAGTTCCAACAAGTGCAACTACGAAATTAAATTGTAAGGCGAGGAGTTAAGGGTGAAATGACGAATCTACCCGCGATGGGGAGCGGGAGTGGTTTCCCCTGACCTAACCCAGAGAATGTCGGAGTTCATTCATTTGATCGGAGGGTATTGTGATTTCAGGACGGTACGTGGGTTCGCGACCGATAAAGCTACGCAAGAGCTCGTGGAAGCAGCGAAATTTGGAAACGGTGCGGAAGAAGGAGAAAGAGAAACAGGCGTTAATTGGTCTGCTGACCGGCCGGTGACGCAATAGAACCCTCGTACCTTCATTTCTACGGATTTTCATTGTTTTTGCCGTGGTGAACACTCGTCCACGAGGGGGCATCTTCTTAACCGTGAATCGTAGAATTAAGCTTTTCGTTCTGACGCGATAGAAAGGGGTGGGAACGAGACCAGACAACGCAACGGAGACACATACGCATATGTATAGGCACATGCAACATGTGTACAGTTCAACCCCTCATCTTATGATTTTTATTTTCTTTTTATTTCGTTTTTATTTACAAATGTGATTTGATCCAAAAAATGTGTTTAAAATCGATGTTTATAATAGAAATGGAAATTTCAAACATCTGTCATTCGATTTTAATGAAATGTATAATACAATTTTCTCATTTGTGTACCGTGCAGAGTATACGTATGGAAATTTCGAAATATCTATTATCTGGTAAGTTCAATAGTCCTGTTATAAATATATTGATTTCGAATACTTTCGTGATTCAATGTATATTTAAAAAAGAATTCTGTATTTATTGCAAGTCCACGTTCAGTTGTTAATAGGAGAAAGAAAATCTTTGATTTTGACTTGAACTATATGAATAACACTCATATTTCTTCAATTTCGTTTGAAATCTTAACCAGAGTTTGACTTGTTGACGACGCAAGGGGTTAAGGGAGTGTGTAACCTTGGAAGCCTAAAGGAAATGGGTTTTACCATTTGTGTTTTCATTTGTATGTAATTGGTAAGAAGCAAAGATTTGTTGTAGGGAATAATATTCAGCAATATCTTAACTAAACTAAATCTATAATTACAGAATAGCAGAATGTTTCTGACTTCGTATCCAAAATCATATTAACACGCAATTTCAAAAGAAATAAAAAAGTCAAAATTGTCATGCTTACTTAAACAAAAGTAGAGTATCGTCGATGTAGTACACGATTTTTCAATTATCTTGAAAAATAAGTAAATCATTGCTTTTTAAAAGCATAACTTTGTTCTCTGCTAAAGAAAATCAGCTTTAAATGTTTATACAATTTATAAAAAAAAGCTTTGTTTTTTTCACATTTACATCTGCTTTGACGTTGGATGCAGTGCGATAAGATTTCATTAGATATGAAATAAAAAAGAATGTACTATTCTGCAATTTTATATAACAAAGAACGTATGAATATATATAATATAACTAAGACATAATTAATGTTTCGTATAAAAATCTTTGCTCCTTATCGATTATATGTAAATAAAAAAAAATATTGAGATCACACATTTCTTTTGAGTTCTCAAGATTTCAAGCCCTGCTAAGAATTAGCCAATTGATCACTGATGTTATATATTACGTTTACAGACAAATACGGTACAATGGGTGCACGTGTCTGCACATCCTTCGCGGCGGAAAGATTAATTAAACGTCCGGATACTTAAGAATTAAAAATCTAAGCTAGTCGATGAGATTTTCATTTCCAAATTTTTCTTAACGATTAGACACCTTGTTGAGTTCGACTGAACACGCGGTTGACAACCATGTATAACAGTGCGTAAGTAAATGCAAATAAATTCTTATTGCAATTCGATGTTCCTTGATGTTTCGATTGTTCTTCATGCGACTCCTTCGTCCGCTGTCATTAATCATCTGCTGTCGATGATGGTAAGAAGAAATAGGAACGAGGTACGTAACAAGCAGAATTTTATAACACTATAACACTTATGTAATTCATAAATATAAATTATAATATTCAGAAATATAACATTTATGAACTGAATCAAAATATACAAATTTTCAATTATTATTAACATCATTAATAATAATATTATAGTATATTATATTATTTACATTATCATTAATAATAATATTATTATATTTATTATTATTATCAATGAATATGCATATTATTAATTCTCAAAAAACGCATTTTATCTTTTGCTAACGATTTTATGTGTATTCTTTGTTAAAACATACGAAAGTAGTAGTTAATATCTTTATTGATTACATTTTAAACAAGGAGGGTGGTGGTCTTTGAAATTTAACAATGGAATGAATGACTTGTGATAGGTGTTTCACTTCTATAGAAAAGTTTGACTGGAAGATGGAATATCTTATAGTAGGGACTGATGTAATGGATTCGGTTGACTAGAAAGATTCAATCCTACAGTATGAATTGACTAAGGTAATTTACTCTATATGGCATGTGAAGGATTATCGATGTAGGATTACATATATATGAAAAAAAATTGCAGATTTTAGGGAGATTATTTGATATGTACATGTAAAATAACATAAAATGAAATAAATAAAATAGATAAGGCGTAATGAAAACGGATTTATTAAAAACAGACCACAACGCGAGAGTTATATATAAAGTATAATTACTTCTAAATTTAAACTTAACAATGACTGGTTGAATAAAGTAAAAAAATTGTTTTCCCGTAAAAAGTTACGGACAGAGCAGCTACAACCCTATCGAATAAAAATTATATACTTAATGCTACTCAGAAAAATTCTTGAAAATTCCTGAGAAGAGATGTCCTTAACTTCTTATTAAAAAGTAGATATATGAAAAATTTTTTTACTACCATTCGTAGTCAAATAGATGCTGATCAAATTTTGCTTCAAACATATTTTGTGAGATTATTAGAAATACCACGAATATAAAGGGTACTGCTTTTTAACTCGAAGCATGGTATTACGATATGGAGTGTAATCGATCTTGCGATGTTCAAATCTTTGATTCGAGGAACGTGAAACGAAATAAATTTGGCAATTAAAAATGGCTGAATACCCTGGTGAAAAAGGAGAAGAAGAGGCAAATCCTTTGGGGGTAGGTACTTCTATTTCATTCTAAAAATCAATTATCTCGAGTTTATTGAAAGACAAGATAAGAATAATAGTAAATATTTCAATGTAGATTACGAGTTTTGAGTAATTTAAAAAGTAAGAAAATATTTTTATTCTGAGTGGTTGGCATGATATTTAAGTAATGAGTAAACTAATATTTTCGAAATCTTATATTACTTGCATGATGGATATTTCTCCAGAACCGACGTTAGTATTTTTAATGATAAATGTGAAATTTTTGTGATAAAACCGATCTTTCACATATTTGTAACGACCGCCATTCAATATTTTACATAAAGAAAAGAAAATTAATTCTCTAGGTATTATTTAAAGTTATAAGACACGACATTACGTTTAATAACTCAGTGACTCGTTTTATTTTCATGTTTCCAATATTTTGTTTAAAAGATTTGTTGAATAGAATATTACAATTGAAAAAATTGTCACTGAAACATACGTTGTTGACGAACGTGTTAACACTTTGGAGACCGTCTGAAAAAAGAGTCATAACTATAATCTTTTATTATTAACTCTAATTGAACTCATTTAATACATTTCTTTAAAAATTATGTTTCATAAAATCAGAAAAGATATTTAATGAATTGCAAATATTCACGGTTCAAGACTTACTAAATAACAACAAAAAAAATAAATTAAATAAATGGCAATTCATTGTTGAAGAAAAAGTGAGAGTTCTGCCTGTTTAGTTGGCTAAGTGTTAAATAAAAGTGTTATGAATTTTGTAACATTGATTATTAAAACAGAGGGATTAATTCCAGTTGTACGAAGGTGAAAGAAACGAGAAAGGTGAAAGGCACGGACATGGAAAAGCACTGCTCCCGAACGGTGACATGTACGAGGGACAGTATTGTAAAGGTTTGAGGCACGGTCAAGGGCTCTATGTGTTCAAAAATGGCGCTAGATACGAGGGTGAATGGAGACACGGTGTAAAGTACTGTCAAGGAACTTTTTGGTATCCTGACGGAACACGATACGAGGGTACGGAATCACCTATCAAAATAGAATGATCAGTTTCAGTGTGGGAAACGTGGGTCGATAGTCATGCTTATATCTATAGGTACTATTATTTTCGTAGCACACGTCAGCTTTGATGATTTTTGTTGGCTAGGCAATGGGTTGTTGACACTTTCGCGACGGGAAACGTAGCCCTGCGTCATTTCAAATTCTTTAGCTGAATACCGGCAACGTAGTCGTGTCATTTCAAAATTGGCGCCATTCCGAACGAGGTGTAAAGTATATTCAAAAAATGGTAAACGTTAAAATAATTTTTCTATATGTAAATCTTATCAGACGCCGCTATGTGGAGACAATTCTTTATCAAATACCATACTAAAGACAAATATTATTAAATATTAAATTATATTGTTACACTTATTGAATTGTTATTATGTTTTGTTTTAGGTATTTTTATATGTAGAAATTAAAGAATCCAATGTGAATGTGCAACAAATATCATTTTTCTGCGTGTAATATTGGTAGCACTGGTTGCTGTCTTGTATGAGATCATTCCATAAGTTCGTCTACTTTTTTACCTTTTTTTGTATAAAATAATATTTTTTAAAGTAGAAAATTTGTATAACTTCACGATATGTCACTCACAAATACCTTCTACATTCTAAACTGAAGTTCAAATTCGTATCATTCTGTGATTACAGAACGTAACGCGAGAAGTACTAACATATCGCAACACGAACTAATGGGAAGATCTAATAATGTATTTGTTAATGACTTAAATATCACTTGAAATGGAAATGAGTTTCCTTTTAGTATCTATGTGTTACTATACTGTCAAATTGCCGCCCCTTAACCCTTTTGTCCCGAATGGCGTACATAGTATCACGAAAATTTTAAATTACTAGTAAGCTAGAAAACGCCTTGAAAATAAAGAAAAATTGTACCACACAGGGATCTTTGCTTATAGATGACAGCTTAAGTACTAATTATTATTATTATTATTAGTGCTTATCTTATTTCTTTCACTGAAATGCTTGAATTTCATGTCAAAGCAATTGTTCTTGATTTTCTCTCCGATTTAAGGGAAAAATACATATTCAGGGATGATAGGATTAAGCTCGGGTAACACTCAGTGAGGGGAAAGACCTTATTCATTTTTATTTATCTACTAAAAATGATATTTTTTATTTATAATTGTATATAATTGTCACTTGTACCAGTGCATATAAGACATATAAGACAACAATATAAAAGAATTGTTGTTATATCCTTTTCTAAAAAATCGACGATTCGATGTTGACCAATATCATCGAATTTGAATCGAACAATGATCTTCAAACACTTCTGGAAAACCTTCTGAATGCAAACAGAAATATTCATTATTTTAATAAAATTAAAAAATGTTTAATCGGTTAAATAAATTTGTACTCTCTGTTATTTCGTTTGTTACCTAAATTATTACCAATATTAAAATGATTTCTTTTATAATATTTAGGTCGAGATTCTTTAGGTGGTTTTGTGTACTTTGTCTTAAAATGTGCGTTTCACGTTCAAGATTCAATACTATTATAAGTTATCATGTTATATTTGAATAACTTATTGAAATATATTAACAATTTTAGAGCGTTCACGCGCTTCCTGTTCGACACCCCTGCATTATAACATCGACGGCAGTTTCCATGAAACATACATTAGTTTCAAGGCTTCTGCACAATATGATACATATTGTTAATACACCAACACCAGGTTTTATGAAAGAATACGCTCTACGTATACACATATATATATTATAACGCTTGAACGTACACAGTTTATCGTGACACGCTGCATACTGGACCTTGGACCTAGACTTCTGATTCCTAAATCAGATCATTGATGTCACATTGATGTCGTTTCACCGATGCTGATCTGTACAAATTGAAACAAGTATCATGGAACCTAAGTATCAATGCATATATCAACAACATGTATCATGATGCGTAAAGCCTTTAAGAATTATCTTTCTGACGAACATGTTTTAAGTAATAAGACCATTATAGTATTTCTCTTCTTTTAAATTTTGTTCGTAGAAATAAATAAAATATTAGTATAATATCATAATATTATATTAAGTTAATATAATACAGAGTGACCCATTATGCGACAGGCTTATCACAATTTTTCAAGCGTTTCCAGAGTAAGACTTGTATAAAGTGCTAATTTCACTACAGAAAGAATTTTATTTATTAATGTGATGTTATAAGTTCTCTTTTTACCACTAAAGGAATACAAATACTGAAACACTTTTAATCAAACATGGGAAAAAATTTTTATATCTAAAAAAAGATATTTTGCAAATAAGAAACAAAAAGTGACAAATGTAATTTGTGATAAAACAAGCGTCAACTGGATTCTTATTTTGATCCGGTTTACTCGGTGACCTAATACGCCTTGGTCCACCCTATTATTATTATTATTATCATCCGGCTATTATTATCATTATCATTATTACCGTCTTATTATTCTATAATAATAAATCATAATTAAAAATTACAACACATAGTTTCTCATTAATTGTTGATTAATTTCTTGCAAAATGGTGGGTTCTACTCTACGTGTTTCTCGTAGGTGAGTGGAAGCGAGACAAGAAATACGGTTTCGGTGTGTATTATTACGTGAACGGTGACATTTATGAAGGCTCCTGGAAGAAAAATCATCGTCACGGTATGGGCTCGTATCTCTACGCAGACACGAACACGAAATTTATGGGCACGTGGATCATGAATCGTATGCAAGGGGCTGGTCAATTGATCCACCCCCGTCATAGGTTCCACGGATTCTGGGAGTTAAATTTGGTAAGGGTGTGGGCGGTTCCAAGAACCGAGCGAGAATTTCTAAAGAGATCTAAAAGAATGTATTATTTATTGAAAATACAATCGCAGCCTTATGGCCGCGGATGCTTTACCTTTGAGAACGCTTGCATGCAACACGGTCACTACGTCCACCTTAAGGATTCCGAACACGAGGAAACCCAGGCGGAAATTACCGAGGTGAAGTAGTATAATAATTGTAATTATTGTTTCATTCCACTAATAATGCGGTTTTATATATTTGTTTTATTTTTAAAAATAAAGATAGACACAAAACTGGTTTTAATTTAAAACATACTACCTTTCATCATCTATAAATTGTCAATTTATACATTATAATTACCTGGAAACAAATTTTGTGTTTGTCTTTATATTTTAAAATAACAGAAATATAATAAACCGCATTATCTATGGTAGGATTCAATAATTGATTGCAGATTTTTGTGCGTTTATGGAAACTTTGAAAGCGCCAAATTGCGCAATAAGAGATATGGAAAAATATCCATATGGAATATTCAATTTTTATATTTTTATAATTTTGATTAGGAGTACCACTTCGTAATTCTGTTTTGCCAATTATTAAATCTTAAAAATTTGAATTTGCATACAAATTGCGGGTTTGTAAAATATCTCTATAGAAGCATCGGACTTTCTTTTTTCTGCTACTTGTTGCTCTTGAAAAAGAAGTTGCATCTGGCAAATTTGAATTTATATATTTTCTTCTTTCTTGCATTTTCATAAACATGTTGTCAGTAAATTCTTGAGATGTTTTTGACAAAATTGAATTCAGTCATGACGTTATGTGGTCTGTTTTTAATTTTGATTGTTATGGAGTAATTGCACACTACGTAACTGTCGTATTAATTATATAAAAATAAAAACATCAATTATATAATGAGGGATACGTTGCCACTGGTTAGAGTTAGTTTATTTCGTTCTTGTGCGTTTATCTGTCATAATTCTGATTGTTAAGTTTATGATCTTATTCTTCGACTTGTTTTAAATATTAGATAACAGCTCAGTAACAGTTCTCAATCATGTTATCATTGTATTACCATCAGACAGGAAATTTCTTAAGGTTTTTATTTATGTGTTTATAAACATGAATCGTAAGCAAATAATCTTGTCGCTCAATTAATTTCGATGCAACATTTGCGGCAGAAATTAGGACATTCTTGTAATGTCACTTAATTTTAAAATAAAATGGTTTGAGCAGAGAAAACAAAAACAGACTGGCATAGTTGATCCGAAGAATCAGTGCAGAAAGCTGTTGAAACAGTTATATAGAGAAAGGGGTATTTTGTAGCCTTTGGAGATTTTAATGTGCCTAAATCTGCATTGGAAAGGAAAATGACTATTTATCGAGAAAATCCATAAGTGTTCAAGACTAACTTAGGATTCTTCAAAACTGAGTTTTCAATTGATACCTCGTATGTGTATGTGAGATGTGTAAATTTTAAATTGGTAAGAAATTTTCGTCGTTTTCTAAGGAAAATTTAATTTCTATATTTAATCTTTGAAAAAAGATAAATTAATGATATATTGGCCATTGTTTTCTATAATCGTTCTAGTCATTTCTACCCTTTTAAATACAAAATCGATCAATAACTTTGACCATCTGAAAAATGTCGAAAAAAAGACAATCAGAAATATAAACTACAATGCAATAACATTAAAAAAGACTGAATATAATAGCGTCCATTATTCAATTTAAAAGTTAAGAATAAAAAAAATTTAGCTTAATTAAATTAAACTACGTAACATCTACGCAATGCAGGATAAAATAGAAGATGAAAAAGTCGATTCGTCAGAGGCGAAGCCGATTCCTTTGAAGAAAGGAATCACTGCATTATGGCGGGCGCGATGTATTACCCCTTATAATCCTGATTTGCTGCCACCTGAACCAGTTCCACTGCAAGAGGAGGTAATAATATCTTTAATAAATAAATAAACTTTCGATGAACTTTGTTTAATTAGAATAGAAATAGTTCGGTGAAGCTACTGAAGCGTAAATCGTGCAGCTTACTGCAAGCGCTTTTCACAAAATCAATTCTGCGATGATTAAAACATATTCCCTAAAGGATATATTAAAGCTATCATTTAACCCTTTGCACTCTAAAATTTTTCGCTAGAAATATTGAACGTTTTCTGATGTGACAGAAATTCAATATCAAATTTATAATTTTATTTTTTCGAGTCAACTCTTAAGCGCAAAAGGTTAAAGTGCATAATAGGTTACACGGTAACTTTAAGTGTGAATAAAAAAGGTAATAATAGATAACTACTAACTAAACTCCATGACCATAAGTTTAAATTAATTGGAAAGAAAGTAGTTGCATGTATATTTCTTATGTTAGACAATAATTTAACTAATTCACTTTTCCGCTCGGGAAACGAATATTTGTTTTTTATTTTCGCTGGACCAATAATGGATCAATACAGATCGTTCTGGACCGTTTTAAATAAATATAGGAAAGCTGCTTGACAGTATCCGGTTTCTCAGGTTGATACAAATTCGTCCATTACTTCAAACATTCCAGAAACCGGAAGTTCTGGGGAACGAGGACGACAAGACGATCCGTCTAAATAGACTGGAAACAGTCTAACGAGAATTTCCGGTTGCTTTAATTACGAGCCACGTCTGCATGGCGCATTCGTTAATACAATTACGATATCCGTATTCGGGGATCTCTTTTACTTCGCATAAACGCATTTTACATCAAGAAAATAATTAAATCATCCAATAGTTTCACTGGCCGATTATTAATATAATGAATTCTTTAGGTATCCTTGGATTCATTGCCAGATAAATGTTCGGAGGAGTTGATAGAACAAGAACAATATTTAAAGTATCCTACAGAATATTATGGAGAAGGCGAGGAATATTACGAAGAGAATAATCATTTCTCATCGACTGTTAATGCAATGGAAGAAGCATGAAATATGAAAACAC